GCCTTCGCAGCCGTGGCCCAGCTGTTCCAGACAACGCAGGGACAGCAGGTAACCTGCTCGCTGTCCCCTTCAGGGCCTGCCTGAAACGAGGGGAAATGGTGCCACTGACAGCCTGCCTTTGAAGCACAAGCTTCCCAAAGGTCTTCGGTGGGATAGAGTATCTAAATTCTTCCATCCAATAGTTGTGATATTTGATGATATGTCCCTGAGTAATAAGTTACAAATTGATGCAGTAACAGGGTTTCTGGAACAGGTGGAATATCTCAAAGAAAATGAGGAATTTTATTGTTCAGTCCTTTTAAATGTTTCCTGTGTTGAAGGGCCTCAATACTGCAATGTTGAGATCTGTTGAATTTTGCCACCCAAGTATTTAAAAAGGGTCTCCTGGTCTTGCTGTTAATGCTCACAGTTCACTCAGGTTGTGCTGTGTTCATGCCCTGCCATAATCTGTAGTGACATAAAGTTTATATCCTACAACTCTTTCAATACTTGGTGTTTATATGAGGACATTCACTTCATACTGTCTCACGTTTCTGTAGCTGCAGCAAATCCTGCAGACCTTCCAGCAGCCTCAGAAGCCCCAGTCACCGGTCATAGACAACACTGTGATGGCTCAGGTTCAAGCTATTACTGCTCAGCTAAAAACCACAGCAGCACAGCCCCCAGAGCAGAAAGCTGCTTTCACAGCACCTGAGCAGAAAACATCATTTGACAAAGTAAGTCTTGGTTTGCATTTTCTCAAGATGGAGAAATGTGATTTTGGACAGTTTTTATTTGGTCTTGGAATATGGATTTCTGTTTTTCCCCAATTCTAACCTTGTCTTTAGTATCAGAGCTTACATTGGTTGTAAGAATGTGATAATAAAGATATTTTGGCTGCCAGTTGGGTAAGATACAGAAAAAATAGTTGTGCTGATGTGGTTTCTTTCAGAAGCTGCTAGATCGGTTTGACTACGATGATGAACCAGAAGCTGTGGAAGATTCTAAGAAAGAAGATTCAGCTCCTTCCCCTGCAGTGTCTCAGCCAGCTTTGTAAGTTGTGTGTCATAATAAAACTGAGAAATCTTACTCCTAAAACACTTTTAGGTTAGAAAGTAGATTAAAATTTCAAGTTAGTTCAGTTTAACTGAATTAACAGTCCAAATTTCAAACACTGTTAAGAGATTTTGGTGGGGTGATTTTTGTGTCTCTTTACTTTGGTGATCTGATGTTGCCTCATTGGTGGAGGACTCTGTTCTGTAGAGAAGAGCTCAGTTTTGGTTGCAGGATGAATTCCATGTTTTTACAGTACATCTGAGGGTGTCAGGGCATCACTGGATCAGCTGGATTGCTTTACTGACTGGGGAAAGGTGCTCTTCCAAACGTTGTGATAGTTTCTAGTATTCAAGAGATGAAAATTGGCTTTGCAGTTTTATGTTGGCAAACATTCCATCCCCACACAAGCCAGCTCAGGCTCCTGTTTCCCTCTTGCTGTGCATTATGATGAAGTCTGGAATGACATGACCACATGCCAGTTTTTTCCACAGGACCTCTCTCTCATTCAGTGCACAGGCTGGATGGTGCTCAATGCCGGGGTTAGTCCATATTTCTTTTTTCCCTGCTTCAGTGCGTGGCCCCATGTCTTACTCTGTATCTGCATCTAAAGCCTGCTCTCAAAACCAGAACCACTAACTCTGTCATCAGCTTTCTGCCTGTGTCTCTCACCTCGAGCACCTCATGTCCACCAGCAGTAGCTCATTCAGGGTCTCTGAAGGAAGTGGATAGTATTTGCCTTAGAATGCAGATGGAGCTCTGGAGTGCAGGAAGAGGAGGTAGGTCACAGGCACTGCTGGTGTGTGCCCAGCTGGAGGCTTGTGGGCATGTTCATGTTCTGTAGGTGATGCTTCAGGGCCTCACAGCTGTGCAGGGTGCCCCTGAGGGTGGCATCCCAGTGCTCCCAGTCTGGGGCATGTGAGCTCAGCAATTCTCTCTATAAAGTACTGATCTGTCCAATCTTCTCAGAATTGTCTTCAGACTCTGCAAAGTTCCATTTCCCATCACCATCAAATTCCTTTCTGCCCTGAAATGCTGCTGAGTTTCTTGCACAGGCTGCATCCTGCAAGCAGGTCCTGTTACCTGCAGACCTCCAGAATTCCCTGAGCACTGTCCATTCTGTGTGTTGAATCAGGAAATGATGGGCATCACTGTAATAAACCTCATGTGATAGCCACCCCCTTCTGCTCTGCCCTATTTCCTCCCAAACCAAAGTGTTTTCTTACAGCAGAGGTACAGCCAGTTTCCTCTCCTTGAGGGAAGAAGCATTGCTTCTTTTGTTCCCAAAAGAGGAGCTGCAAAGGGAGAGACTGAGCCTAAGGCAGAAAACCTTCCTGAAATGTTTCTGCAGGCTGAGATCTTCAGCCAGCTCATAGAAGTGCAGGGGCGAGAGAGGCTCTAACCTTTGTGTAGCATTTATGTAAATGTGAAAGGACTGCTCTTAGAGTGGAGCAAAGATCAGGAAACCACTCTTTCTTCCTTTTCTTTTTTTGTTGGAAACGGGATCATAGCAAAGATAATTGTTCTGTCTCAAATAACAGCCAGAATGTGTAAATGTGCATAGAAATCTGTCAAATAAAGACAAACCTGTGCATCTACTGACTGGTCTCACCAAAATACTCCTGTTTTAGTGGGTTTCCAGGAGAAGGCATGCAACAGCCAGTGTTTCCTCAGCTCCCCAACATGGATCCATTTCAGCAGCGGATGATGGGGATGCAGCAGGATCCGATGCGGCACCAGGTAACCCAGGCTTTTCCCTTGTCCCCCTCTTGTGCTTTCCCTGCTTTGCTGTTTCCTTTGGTGCAGCAGGAAGGAAGTGATTTTCCTGCTGGTGAGCAGTGAATGTGGCTTAGCCCTGCATCTTCCCAAAGAAACATATCTTTGGTGTCTGTCCTAGTCAGGCTGTGAAGGACAAGATTGTTACTTGTGCACCCAAATGCTTGGCCTGCTTCATCTTTTTGTTTGTTTCCCCATCTTTTACAGCTGGGAAAGTATATGTAATTCCTCCTTCTAGCTGGAACTCTATGTCTTTTCTTCTCCCAAGGTGCCTCTTCCTCCGAATGGGCAGATGCCAGGCTTTGGTCTCCTGCCTACCCCCCAGTTCCCACCCATGGCTCAGCCAGTGATGCCTCCAGCAGCACCAGTGCAGCCAACTTTCCAGTCTCCCTTCCCAGTGCAGGCTGAGCCACACCTGCAGAAACCCCACCAGCAGGTGAGCAGGCCAACTCCGATGCTCTCATACATCTTTCCCAAATGTGTGTGGATTGTCCTGGAGCAGAAGTGTCAGCATGACCAGGACACAGCTGGCTATGAGGCTGGCTCTGCTGAGAGAGAGCTCCAGGTCTTACCCCTTTCCTGTCTCCAGCATAATTCAGCCTTAAAGTAATTTCTTAGAGTATCTTGGAGAAAAGTTGCAGCAGATCTCACTTTGCCTGGGATTTTGATGATGGAGCATGATCCACTGACTGATTTTAAGGAATAGAATTATGTTCTGTGGAGATGCAGGTGTTGCTGAAATGGGGTGAAATGTGGAAACCAATAATTTGCAAATTGAAAATGGGAATTGTGTGAACTATTTCTATGGTGCCTTTTCAGTGGCTGTGTTAAGTACATGCAGTACTGGACCCTCTCCCTGCTAGTGACCACAGGGTGAAGGTTTTGAGTCACATTACTCTTTAATTTCACACATTTGAATATTCAGTATACTTTCAGTGCTGCTAATTTAGTCTGAGCATAACAAGAAATAGAATGCTTGTCCTGCTCACCCCTAACACCTATCAATTTCATGTTTTAGGATATGGAAGTGGAACAGCCTCCCATTCAGGAGGGAAAACGGCATGTTTCTGACAGTAGGAAATCAAGATCTAGATCTGCATCAAGGTAAATGGGTGAAAGGTCTTTGAGTGCAGGAATGAAAAGCAGATTAGCAGCTCTAAGATAATGAACCTCTGAAGTCATCTCCCTTCTAGGGAAAATATTCTATCTGTGCAGTTCTCTCTCACTGGGAGAGAGCAACTTCTGTGCCTTTCAGTCCAGAGTCAATTTTAGGGAGGCAGAATGTGATTGTTTAGAGCACAGGCAAATTGAACTCACTTTTCTTATGAAAACATTTGTGATCTGTGACTTTGTGTGTCACTGAGCCTGTGTGTCACATCCCAGCTGACTGAGCAGATCTGGCTCCATTCTCTGTTTAGTTGCAAGAAGTCATCTTGTTCACCAAGATGCAATCGCTCTGCACGACTTCTCTGAAAGTCTGCCACACCCAAAGTGGTTTAGAACTTAAACATGATGCAAAATGTAATTTCAGTGGCAGACTTTCTTTATAATTTATAATTTATTTATAATAATTTTTAGCCATTTCTTTGTAAAAGCAGTAAATATTTGCATCATTGATGGAAGTATAATTTTCCCTGTGTTGAAGTGGACGCAGTTTTGATGGTCAACTTCAGGACAAAATTGATACATGACGAGAAATTCTTTGTGTGAACGAGCTGGCATTGCCGTGTTCCCTTCCTGAGGGAACACTGGGGGTGCTGTACAGCTGAGGCTGTGTCAGGCTCTGAGCAGGGTGCCTTGGTTCCCACAGGTCCCCCAAGAGGAGACGCTCGCAGTCGGGCTCGCGCTCGTGACAAATTCTTTGTGTGAATGAGCTGGGATTGCTGTGTTCCCTTCCTGAGGGAACACTGGGGGTGCTGT